TTTAGTGGTCTGTTTCCCACTGCACTTAGGATAAAATACAAGCTTTTTCCTGTGGCCCTAAGGCCTTATAAACCTGGCCCTCATCTCTCACGCTGACTTCATCCTGTCCCAGAGTCCCTGATGCTGGCCAAGCTCATGTCCTGATCTGCTCTCTGTTTCATGAACCAGCAAGCTCATCCCACCTCAGGGCCTTTGCACTCACTGTTCACTCTGCCTAGAATTTTCTGCCCCAGATCCTCACATATCTGGTTCTTGGTTCTTAATTGAGTCTCCGGGCTATACTGCATCTCTTCAGAATAGCCTTCTCTGAGCATGTCTCCCAGGGCCCTCTGCCCGTGTGCCCGTGGACACACCCTCTCACGCTACCTTGTCTGTCTTCACGGCACACACTTCACTATCTCAAGTCACCTTGTTTGTCTTCCTGCTTTTTTGCCTTCTCTTTGGGAGCACGGACGCTGCAGAGCAGAGTCCTGGCTGGCCCAGTTCACTGCAGAGCCCACCCATGCTGGGACACAGGCTACGCAGGATGACGAGGGACTGAACATGCAGAGCAGTTAAAGAGATGCAACCAGGCGGGCTTACCGCAACTCCTGCGGGTCTGCAGCATCAAGCGATTCAATGCTTCTTTATTATATAAAACAGCAGAGTTTTTTAAATGCTAGTAACAATTTAAATTATGCCAAGATCCTTTTAAAAAACCTAAGAATGACTCAATAAATTAGTGATCGAGGCACTTGTTTTAAATCATTAGGACTGAAGCGCAGACAATGCTCCAGGACAACTACACCTCAGTGAAAGGGGGACAGTGACCAGGGCTGTGGTCACCGTGACAGCTCTCCCCGCCCAGTCCTCCAACAGCACTGCAGGGCTGCTCTGCTCTGAGCTCGCGTCTTATGTGAGATGTGGCCGTAGGACCAACTGGTCAATAAACATTGAGTAGAAGTGGTAAGAGATGGGACGGTCTCCATCATCCTTGGTTCCTGAGCAACTACGAGAGCTGACCCGCACTGGCTGTGCAGCAGGAACACAGGCTGTGCTGCATGTGAGGGCCCTGGGGCCCTGGAGTCGCCTGCCTGTCAGCATGGCATGACCCAGCGAGTCTCGACCGAGGAAGCAACGCCACACAGTGACCAGGGGCCTGGCTGTGGACACTGAGGGGGGAGGGAGGGTGACTCAGAGCCCATCGCTCACTCTCAAGTGACCCCAGGTAGCCCAAGGCCTCTTTGGGCCTCAAGGTCTCATCCATAAAATGAGGCTGCGGCACCTACACGTGACAGAGCGGCTAAAAGACAGAGGTGTGACAGAAGGCCCCCAACACCCCACAAGTGGCTGGCGTACTGAGCGAACAGGTGGCGAAGGACATGGCTCTCCACACCAGTGCCAAAAGCCCTTGGAGACTCACTCACAGACCCCGCTCGCAGGGATGCTCTATAAAGTAAAGCAAGGCACACTACTCAGTGAAACTCATTTATAAAGTTCTGCCTAGATAACCCAGGACAAGAGTTGAATGCTGGGTGGGTGTGGTGTGTCAGCGAGGCAAGTAAAGGCTCCTAAGGTTTGAAAATGGGGTGAAGGGAGGAAGTCGTGGCCCTCCTGGGCCTGCCTACCAGGCCTGGGCTCGGTGGGAAGGGACGGGCTCATGGGCAAAGCGAGCGGGCTCTAAACAGAGAAGGTGAGCAATACCAAGGAAGGGGTCAGTGCCGAGTGAAAAGCAAAGCAGAAGACAAAGGACAAAGAGCATGTGGGCCTGGGGTCTCGTGCAGCAGGGCTGGGCCAGAAGATGGCCTGGAGCCACCTGAACACGCCAGCAGGTGGAGCAGTTCAGAACAGCGTCAAGCCAGTGCTCAAAGCACCAGAAGGCTTTGGATTCCTTTCTTCTAAAGCACTCACTTCTCAACAGTGGGGTGTGCTCACACCTTGGCTCCCGCAGGCCCTAAAAACTTCACCTGTAGGACACAGACGAGTGAATGATTCTGAGCTACTGCTGTCGTCGAGACCACACCTGCCATAAGCCACAGATCTGACAGCTGAAATTCATCATAACAGGATGATCAGTCCCCAGGGAGAATAATTTAGTACCAAAATCGCCATCAAGACTCAAATTAAAAGTCAGTCTAATTCTGGGCCTCCCCAGTGGCGCAGCGGTTGAGTGCTGGCTTGCGAAGCTGCCCGCAGCTTCTGCAGTGCTGGTTCGATCCCCGGCCACCAGGTGAGGGTCCCACATGGCGCGCAGACCTCTCCTGCCACCCGCTGCCCCCCTCAGCAGTGAACTTTATCAGTCTGCCTGCTCTGCTCTCTGCTCTGACTCTGGTGAATTCTCTCACCCTCCCGCGCTTCTGACTGTACCCGGTGCTTGTATAAATAAAGTATAAATAAATAAATAAATCTTAAAAAAAAAAGTCAATCTGATTCAATTGAAAACTTTTTTAATATCCGAATTTTTGCATAGGTTTTCATTTATTGTTCATTTTCACTGATGGAAAACGAGAGGAATAACTACTAGGGGAAAACACAAAATGTCCCGAAACAATTCTTAGGTTTTTTTCTTTTTTTTTTTTTTTAAAGATTCATTTATTTATACAAGAACCGGGGTACAAGCCAGATGCGCGGGAGGGTAAGAAGATTCACCAGAGACAGAGCGGGGAACAAAACAGGCAGACTGATGTGGGACCCTCGCCGGCTGGCCAGGATCAAACCGGCGCTGCAGAGGCTGCGGACAGCTTCACAGCGCGGCGCTCAACCGCCTGTGCCACCAGGGGAGGCCCGATTCCTAGTTTTTAAAACCTACTAAGTTGATCATTAAAAAAACACTCATAGATTCTGTGCCATGACATAATAAACAGATCTAATTATCAAATAATTAATATTCTTCAAATAATGAAAATGTAACTAAAGGTACTAAAATCCTGACTTATAAAATGTGGACACTTTTTATAATCCAAGTAAGCTTCATTACTACCAGACCATTAAAATTACATCCAAGTCCGAAACATGCTAGCCATTAGGAGCCAAGGAGGACCCCCTTCCACTGATACTTGGCACCTGGCATCAAAGGGCCGTCCTCTGCAGGTCTGATAGCAAAACTTGTCAAAAGCAACATGAACTTGTTAAAGAGCCAAAAAGAGAAATGGTTACTGCTCCACTCTCGTGAGTGCCAGGTGGGCTTTCTTTAGCCACAGGTTCATCTGACGTAAGTGGACTACTGAAGCAAAGTGTCCAACTGGCCCATAAATATAATAAACATAAAATATGACTATCCCACTATGGTGTAAGAATTAAGGCATTATTAAGCATTAGGGTCAAGTTGTAATCACCTGAAAGAAATGACTGCTAAACTGTGATGCAATGAAAGCAAGGTCAATATTTAGATTCCACTTTGGAAATGTTCAAGAACATTCTAGGCCCGAACCAAGACTGCTCTGAAACAGTTCCCTGCAGTAGAAACCCAAGCTCCTCCGGGTGACCAGATTCACAGTAAGAATCACCTTAAAAGAGGAAAATGAAATGGATGGCATCTATGTGCACGACTGTGAAGGGCAAAGACTGTGGAAATCCGCTCTGCTCTCTTTGCCCTCCCCCATCACACCATTTCAACAATTATTTGCATTCAAAAGCATGTCAGTAAATCTGCAAATTTTAAAGTAATAGAAACCACGTGCCCCATGTGCTCACCAGATTCTGTTTTTATGAGGTTTGGGCCCCTGCATTAAAATAAACCTTATTTTTGATAAAGTAATGAAAAGAAATCAAAAGAATCCATTTGAAAAATTTCACATCTCTCAATCCAACATGGGACTGGAGTTATTAAACCTGGTCACCTAATGAAGCTGGGCTTAAGATCTTAAGTTCGAAGCATCTGTAAATGATAAAAAGGTGCTCAAAGTTTCAGTGGCTGAGGAGTAGAAAACGTTTTCAAGATTGATAGTTTTAAGCTAAGCACTTAAAATTACAGACTTGAGATTTTTAAGTCATATCCTTCATATTTTAAAAAAAAATGTGTTTATGAAGATTTCAAAGAGAGTATTTCTGATACCCATATATTTCTCTAACTGCAAGAGAAATGATATTAAGACCAGAAATCCTACTTCAAAGTATAGTGGGTCCAGCATAATTGGTTCTGTTTACCAGAACACCCTTGTGGCTGTATAAAGAGCCAGAGCAGAATTTTAATCTCCAGGTAATCTCACGCTCCTTTAAAAAGGAACACAGCTTACATTTCAATTACTGCCCTCTTGTTTTTATTCTATGAACGGGTTTTTCAAGCAAATGCTAGTTTCTCAATTGATCAGGAAAACTTCAAAAAATAGCTTTCAATCTTCCCTATTAAATCAGTGGGTAGTTACAAAATAACATCCAAAATAAAAAGCTTACTAAGTTAGGGCCTCCCCGGTGGTGCAGTGGTTGAGCGCTGGGTTGAGAAACTGCCCGCAGCCTCTGCAGCACAGGTTCGATCCCCGGCTGCTCCCCGGCCACCAGAGGAGGGTCCCACATGGCGCGCAGACCTCTCCTGCCGCCCGCTGCTCCCCTCAGCAGTGTACTTCGGTCCTTCTGCCTGCTCTGCTCTCCGCTCTGGCTCTGGTGAATTCTCTCACCCTCCCGCGCTTCTGACTGTGCCCAGTGCTTGTATAAATAAATAAATAAAGATAAAAAAAAAATATGGATCTTGATTTATTAAAAAAAAAAAAAAAAAAGCTTACTAAGTTAAAAAAAGGAACACGATATATAGCGTGGCAGAAGAAAGTCTGAACGCCGGTCTCCAGAAAGGAGTCCTCTCCCCAGGGCGCCACAGAAACACCCCCGACGCCAGACAACGACGCCCCTTCTGCTCCACCAACGCACCAAGACACACTGTGAAAGCAGTGAAATAATCAATGGAAGTATTAAGAAACAGAAAGGAAAATCTGGGAGAAATGAATGTGTGTGTTTCTAGCTTTTCAAAATTAAGAACTGGTCTGACATCTAAGTAATGTATTTGTAGAAATTCTTATTTTTAAACTCACCTGATTCATTTTCAATTCCTGTTGTGTTCTGAAAAGATACACACAACAAAGAAACTTCTTTGATTACATGAGCCCTAAAAAGAAAAACAGACAATTGTAATATGTACCTGCCTACAAATTGACAGTGATTTAAAACCACATACAGAACTGCAGAGTTTGCTCAAAGGGCCATTCATAAAGCAACGCCGTGCCCGGTCAGCTGCCATCTACGCTGAGAGGTTACCTCGCAGATTTATTATTCACCATAAAATAGATTTCTATTAATCTTTACTGGGGTTTCACTGTGTGCTACAATAGTAAGCAGACATGTTAGAATGACATCAAATTTGTGCTTTGAAATTGTGTCATTCCTAAGAAATAAATCAGCTTTGTAAACAGAAACACAAAGCATTGTTGAGTAACTTATTCTGCAATGGAAAAGTCCTTTTATTTATATCAATAACACTGTGTTAAATGCAAATGCAGCCAAGACCCCTTAACAGTATTTTTTTTCCAAGTCTCTGAAGATGGATTTACTAACATTTCCACGGGGAGTTGTCTTTGAGCAACAGAACAAGAACCTCACCTTAAAATGCAAATATTTTAATAAAAGTTATTTGGGGAGAAATATAATTATTCCTTTAAAATTTTGGCTGAATATATTCATAGCATAGTAAAACAATGAGAAGACAAATCATTTCTTATAAATGCACGTGACATACTTGCTTCTAAATAACAGTCTGAAGATGAGCCTTTCTGCAATGCACGTCGTGGGATTCACATCAAGTCATCGGAAACACTGGAAAATAAGGCCACTGTAGGTGCTGATACTGGAACTGTCTGATACTGGAACACATCTGCTGGTACTGGAACTGTCCCACACCAGTAAGCATAATTCTATTTCTTCGTGAACTTGCTTATACTTCACTTTCCTTTCTAAGACTGGACTAATGTTATAACTGCATGTTCTGTTAATAAACCAAGGAACTAAGTCAATGGCATTCTTCACACTAAAGTATGCTGCCTGTCCATTATTATAAAGAATAGTGCTTTGCTGTTTTCATCTCCCCTCCCCGCTCACTGTTCCTTAGTTGGTAGTTTTCGTGGTTTTTGTTTTTTGTTTTTTTCCCTTGAGCTATTCAACCACACTCACCTGGCCATCTTAAAGAATCAAACGCACTTTATTAAAGTTAGGGCCTGGTCATCCAAATGGATTGTCAGTCAAAACTGGCATAGGGAGTAAGCATTCCCTAACTTGCAACTTGTCAGAGAGCTCAGTGCCAGCAAACCAGCATCAACTCAACGAATACAGTTCAGGTAACCCGAGGCTAACTCCTAAGTTCACGCATTTACATCTTAACCTGGAGCGGCTTTCAGGTATGCATGCAACATATCTTTTCTCAGGGGCACCTTTCACGCAGCCTCATTGACCCTCTTCCACGAGACTGGAGATGGCTGTGAAGTTACAAATACTCAGTGTTCCTGCAAAAAAGTGAGACTAAAGGGAGGCCACTGCACTTGGGCTGGCCGACTCCTCCCAGTGCACACTGTCCCCTCCATCAAGGCCACCTGGCAAAGCCCTGTGCAACCAATGCCAGGGTGCCTCCCACAATTTCTGACAACCAAAATTAACCTCTGCACATCCCCAACACCCTCCCAGGCGAGAACCTCTGAACTGTAATAATGACATGACTAGCTGCAATATGGTCATATATTTTATAGTAACTAAAAGTTGTTTTTGGAGTAACTTCCTTAAGATTTCTCCAGCACTATGTGCCACCCCACCCCCCACCTCATGAAGCCCCCAACAATCCTCCATGAGCAATCATATTCTGTGTCGACAGCCCTGTTTGTACACACACACTCAACTAAGAGAAATCTCGAAGCCAAAGTTTCATCAAATGAGAACCTGAGCTATCAAGCCTATCAGTACAAGGGCAGAGAGGAATCTTTCTGCATTTATTACTGAAACGCAACAATTGTAATAAAAAAAATTTTTTAAAGATTTATTTATCCATGCATACAAGAACTGGGGTACAGGCCACAGGTATAGGGGGGTGAAAGGATTCACCAGAGACAGAATGGGGAACAGAACAGGCAGAGAGACTGAAATACACTGCTGAGAGGGGCAGTGGGCGAGTCAGGAGAGGTCTGCTGCGCCATGTGGGTAGCTCCCTGGCCGGGGATTGAACTCGTGCTACAGAGGCTGCAGACAGCCTTGTAGGCTGCATCTTAACCCCTTGCGCCACCAGGGAAGCCCTGTCAAAAAAAATTTTAATGCTAAACTATTAAATGCCTCTGATTTTCCGCGATAAATACTGAAAATCTTAAAATTCCTAGGAATACTCTGAGGCCAACATATGTCTTCATCTCTCTGTTGGATCCCAACGCCTGACCAAATCTCCTCTTGGATGTCTACAAGACCCTTGAACACACCAACACACACCTCAAACACACCCCCCCCACAGGTAACATACATTATTCGGATATACAGATTCAGAGCGTGCAAATCTCTATCGCTAATTAGGCAGCCAAGTAACACACACTCTTAGAAAAGCATGATCTAGAGTTTACATATCCAAGGACTTAACAAAATGCATGTAATTAACTTTTCTAGCAATTGCTTCCAAATTCTAGGACAAATCATCCTCACAAATGTTTAACTTAGTAATAGTATAAAGACAATTTGATTACGCAAGGATCAGTCTTAATAGAGCACCAATAAAATAATTAGGGTCTTTATTTGAAGACTGTTTCTTAGAAGTGTCAGGACAACCTCAATAACTGCTAAGCTGCTGTCATGGGAGGTGGAAGGCCAGAGACCAGAAAACTGACACATCTGCGGGCACCCCAGCCCTGGCTCAGAACAGCCCCGAAGCCCCAGTCACAGCTCTGCCACCAATCCCCTGACATGACAGATTAAAGACAGACATGAACTCACGAGTGCGACACACAGAACACTGGCAACCTGCCGTGCCTTTGCAGACTTTTAAAATCTACAAAATTATGGGAACGGCAAAGCGAAAGCAAGAACAGAGCAAATGAAATATGCTGAAATGAAAAATCAAATCTGATGCATGTGTTCCAGAATAAGGAGGTGGTGTGTGTGTAAAGAGAAAACAGATGAAGATTTGGTAAACTGCTGACTCTCAGGGTGTGAACCCTTTCTACTTGAATGATTTGTTCGTGTCTCGCATTCCAGGATGATTTCTGCCAAGGCAAAAAGACAATAGTACAAGTGTGTCACACGCAGGAATTTCCTACCAGAAGAGTATAGGAAAAGATACAAAGAACGGAACGTTCACAGAGAATCATGTTACCTCTCCCGCTTTAATAAGCCAGTTCCCTCATGAGACCCAGAATACCACAGACCAACAGCCCAGGGTCTGAGCCCTGCATACAAGAACTGGGGTACAGGCCACAGGTAAGGGTGGGGGTGGTGAGAGGATTCACCAGAGACAGAACGGGGAACAGAACAGGCAGACTGATGAAACACACTGCTGAGGGGAGCAGCGTCAGGACATAGACCTAAATAAGGAAGCAGAGTCCATGGAGCTTGCTGCAGAGGGGAGCACTGGATACTGACAGGTCTCCATGTAACACGGTGGGAAAACAGAGGGTGGGGCTGTTCTGCCAGGCTCAGAGCATGGAGCTCCACGGAGAAAGTGGAGCTGATTAGTTTTTGTTTGAAATATGTAAGTTAAACAACACCATGAAAGAATGTTAAGTAAGAGACCTGTGGATCTGCTAGGAAGGTACTAGAAACCCATATTTAGATTATGGCTCTGGGAGGCGGGGTGGGGGTCCTTCTCAGACTACCACTTCTTTACTTGGCGGGGCTAGGGGGCAAGAAATGAAAGGGAAATTTTTCAAAAATTACTGCTCCAAGCACCCATTAATAGAGCTAGCTTAGCAATAGCTGATCACTTAGCTGGTTGATGTTACACACAACTATTAATGTGTGCTCACCTTTTTTCTTTTGATTAAACTGGCACATCTCTGTCATTATATTGCACGGAGCATGTAATTTATTACATCACAGATTTCAGGTTTTGTTTCAGGTTTATACCACAATTGCCTCTAACCCCCTAATTAAAAATACCTGGTTTCTCTGAAGAAGCTGAAGCGTTCGTTACCCTACCTCACACCGTAACAGGAGGCCACCATATCCCCCCCCCCCCCCCGCCACAGTACTGGAAACAAAAGAATCACTGCCAGTGTTCCTGAGTGAGGTAACGCCATCCTACAAAATAGCCCTGACCTATAAAGTCCCCCTTTCCCCATTTGCAAGATTAATTACCAAAAACTGCAAAGGTCAAAATCCCCAAGAAAAGGAGGGACTGTGCTTTCCAGCCATTCCCTGCTCGCTGCGGAGTGCTAGGCCTCAGACTCAGGGTGATTATCACAACCCCCACCTCTGCCAGAACAGCAGCTGACCACACATCCTACAAAAGACCATTTAGATCAAAGACGGTCTTGTAAAACAATTCTTTTCTGACCTCTTCCCTTTAGATGCGTAAAAGGAAAACAAAGTTGGTTCTTTCCTAAGGCTTGAAGGCCAGGCTTCCAGCTCACACAATCACTACAGCAAAACGCCACCCAATGGCCACGGTTCCCAAGACAAGACCAATTCCCAGCTGGCCCCTCAGAGTCACTGTTTCTCCGCTGCCATTGCCAATGCAGATGTTACCTTCGGGATTAAACCTTTCAAACTGAGAGATCTTCAGGAATCCTATAAAATACCTTTGAATTTCCTGGAAAAGGGACGAAAGCTCCGGCCACGCAGCCAAGGGCCTGGCACTCAAGCCACCGCGCTTCCACGCAGTTCTCCAAGCACCAACGGCGTGGGCTGCTCAGGACTCTCTTCGGTTTTTTCCTACACCATAAAAAGTCAAGCAAAACCCACCTTCCACCACCGACACACAAATGACAGATTGTAAATGCACCTAAAGCAGAAATAAATTACACCAGATCGAGTGACAACTTACACTCTGGTCCGCTAAGATGTGGGCGCGCATGATCACTACGAGATTGTACAGGTTTGTGATTGCTCCCTTTGCGGTTTGGTACAAGCAACTCTTCTATTTTAAAGAAA